GTTCTCCTTGTCAGGGGGTTGCCAAGTTTGTGTTATACCCCTGTGTCAGGGACAGAATGCAAACTTGTGCAACCCCCTCGCAGGGGTAGATCACAAAGATTTCTAATTTTCAGTCCCAAAAGGTATTTATTCCACTCTACCCACCCACATTTTTAAGGGGTATTTTAGCATATAAGTGAACTTTCAGGGGTATTTTGCAAATTTTCCCTTTCTTTTATTATTACGTATTTTACTCAAGTCTGTGTGAACTCTGTAACCATACAACACCTACCATGAAGGGAAGAAAAGACAAAGTACCATGCCTGGACATGCTCCTATTAGACTACGATGCACCCTCATTATGTGGCTGCACCAGACCGGGAAGATAGCTTTTATACGTTCATTGTCAGGATGTGAACGCACCCTTTAATACGTTCTTTGTCAGGGTGTGAACGCACCCTCGTTACATGGCTGTATCGAACTGGGAAGATAGCTTTTATACATTCATTATCAGGGTGCGTTGTGCTCGGGGGGGGTGGAAGATTGCAACTGCTATTAGAGGGCACCTTTGGGGTTTTCTCCTAAGAGTAAGCAATGAGCTGATGGGATGGCATTCAACCAAAAAAAAAAAGAGAGAGATGGCATTAGTGTGGCTGTTTTGGCTTTCAAAACTCGAACAACGAAATATTGGTCTTTTATCTTTTTTTTTTCCCCAGCCAGCTTTGCTTTCCCCTCCCCCCCTCCCCCCCCCCTCTCTGAAAGCTCAGTCCCACACGGGCCCCTCAGGGCCCGATAGGTAGGGTTAGGTGTTAGTAAGGGCTTAGGGCCTGTTCTAGACCAGTGCATGGGTCCCCAGGACCCATGCAATTTTGCATGGCATGAACACACTTGCGTGAGATGGTCTCCAGGACCCATGCACCAGTGTCATTTCAGCCTGTAGTAGGGCCCGCAGGGTCAGTAGGCCAGATTAGGCCTGTTACCAGTCCTGGTTAGGACCAGTGTATTCAGTGGCCCAGTTAGGCCTGGGTTTTCCGGTCAGGACGTACAGGCCCAGCACCTGTTTTAGCGCCAACTTCATTAGGCGCCCGTTTTTCGTTTTGGGCGCCAGTCCATCGGTTGAGGCAGCCTCCCAGGCAGGCCAGCGCTACATGCAGCTGGTCTGCCTAGGAGTTCGGTAGGTAGTTCAGAGGTAGTACTGTAGTCCTCAGTAGTCGATGTGCTGGGCGCCGTAGCATGGTAGAGAGTAGTCGTCCAGCGCTAGGCACTGCGCGAGGTAGTCGAGCTTGCGCTGCATCACACTGCAGCAGGGACTAGGGAGATATGAGGTGGAGGCCAGGGGGACTTACCTGCGACTTACCTGGGGCGCCATAGCTCCAGCTTCGTCTTCGGTACGTCCGCACCTGCATCAAGGCAACACCTTTACGCAGGTCAGTACCAGGTGTACACACACACACAC